GAGAGAGAGAGAGAGAGAGAGAGAGAGAGAGAGAGAGAGAGAGAGAGAGAGAGAGAGAGAGAGTGTGTGTGTGTGTGTGTGTGTGTGTGTGAGAGAGAGAGAGAGAGAGATATATATATATATATATATATATATATATATATATATATATATATATATATATATATATATATATATATTACTTAATATGGGTGGCACGGTGGCTCAGTGGTTAGTACTCGGAGCAAGAAGGTCGCTGGTTTGAGTCTCGCTCAGTTGGCATTTCTGTGTGGAGTATGCATGTTCTCCCCGTGTTGGCATGGGTTTCCTCCAGTATGGAGCTAATAATATGCCAAAACAATTCAGCCACAACACAGTACTGGGGAAACACTACGGTCAATTTAGTTCATCAATTCCCCTATAGCGCATGTGTTTGGACTGTGGGGAACTGGAGCACCTATAATATGGAGCTAATAATATGCCAAAACAATCTGAATTTGAACTTGAATCTGTTCATTTGAATTATTGACAATTGCAATCTAAATCTGAATTTTTAAATAATTTAAATTTTTGAATTTCTTAATTTAAATTTCTAATTTGAATTTCATAACTTGAATATTAAACCTCTGAAATTCAAGACCATGACTTTTCGCTAAGCTAAGTTAAAAGTGCTCCTGCCAGACCCATAACTATGATAAAACTTAAGGTTAATAAGGAATAAGGTTAATAGGAATATTATCAAAAAGATTTTTTTTACATTTTTTGAGTGAGATGCTAACGGTCTAATCCCATTTAATTATCTATGCTAAGCTAAGCTAAAAGTGTTCCTGCCAGACCTGGAGATCTGCTCAATGGATGTCAATATGGTAAAATTCAACTGTTGAATAGAAAAAAATAACAAAACTCTTTTTTAAATGTTTAAGTGAGATGCTAACGGTCTAATTTGATAATATTATCTATGCTAAGCTAAGCTAAAAGTGTTCCTGCCACACCCAGAAATCTGCTCAATGGATGTAACTGTGATAAAACTAAAAGGTTAAATAGGAAAATTATCCAAAAAGATATTTTTTTTTACATTTTTTGAGTGAGATGCTAACGGTCTAATCTGATTTAATTATCTATGCTAAGCTAAGCTAAAAGTGTTCCTGCCACACCCAGAAATCTGCTCAATGGATGTAACAGTGATAAAACTAAAAGGTTAAAAAGGAAAATTATCAAAAAATATTTATTTATTTTTTTTTTACATTTTTTGAGTGAAATGCTAACGGTCTAATCTGATGTAATTATCTATGCTAAGCTAAGCTAAATTTGTTCCTGCCAGACCTGGAGATCTGCCCAATGTATGTCACTTTGGTAAAACTAAAATGTTGAATAGAAAAAATTAACAAAGCTCTTTAAAAATGTTGAGTAAGATGCTAACGGTCTAATCCGATTTAATTATCTATGCTAAGCTAAGCTAAAATGGCTCCTGCCAGACCTGGAGATCTGCCTAATGGATGTAAATATGGTAAAACTAAACTGTTGAATAGAAACAAGTACAAAAACTCTTTTTTAAATTTCTGAGTGAGATGCTAACGGTCTCATCCGACTTAATTATCTATGCTAAGCTAAGCTAAAGGTGTTCCTGCCAGACTAACAGGAACTAAACTAAACTGTTTTGATGTAGACGTGTCACTCATATAGTTTTGAATGGGGAAAAGTGTAAAGTCAATATGCTCCAAAAATAAAGCCCCGCCTTCTAGTACAAGAGCCAATCATTGATCACTATATACTGAGGATTCTTCAGAGGAAGGGCTCAGACCAGACATGAGCGTGTGATTTAAACACTTAAAAATTAAACTAAAGAGAAAGTTGTTGTTTAATTTTATTGGTGATTCCTGATATAAAATTTAGTCCTAAGCTTGGCAAACAGTTTGGGAAAATTTGATGTCTCCCTATCCAAAACGAATGCCCATTCATACAGCCTACAAAGCTGGCCGCCGAGTGAAATGACTTAGCTTTAGGGGACTTTAATTACACACAATAAAATGTGTGCGCACACGTTTAGTGAATACGATCCTACGTTTTTGTTTTGTTTTTCACTGTAATGTTTTGCAGGGAATCAAAACCCCTTCTGGAAGCATCATTTTAAGAGCGTGGAGTATATTTATCAGGCGCTCAGCAGGCTTTGGATCAGAGCTGGAGAAGCAGATGAAGGTCTCACCCCTGAAGAGGGCAGTCGTTTTTCCTCAGGGCTGTGCCTCACGGGTAAAGCGCCGTACAGCCTAACACCGCGATCTCCTACACTGTATCTGCTCTGTAGAGATGGAGAACAGAGGAGAAGACAGAGAGGAGAGAAAACACAGGACAACCAAGCAGGCTTAGAAGTGGCTCGAGAGTACAGCAGACAACAAAAAACACACTCATATTCTTCCTTCATCATCATCATCTTCATCATCATCATCATTATCATCATCACACAGCCTTCAAAACCGTCACAGTTCAAGACCTCATTAGAGGTACACACTGTTTATAACGTTGTACACTCCCCTAGAGTTCACCAGACGAGTCTTTCTATATTTACATACGTTAAGCTGATCTCCGGGTCTTTACACTTTTAGCTTAGCTTAGCATAGATAATTAAATCGGATTAGACCATTAGCATCTCATTTAAAATTTTTATAAAAAGAGTATTATTTTCCAATTTAACAGTTTAGTTTGAACATATTTACATCTGTTAAGCAGGTCGCCTGGTCTGGGGGACACTTTTAGCTTAGCTTAGCATAGGTCATTGAATGGAATTAGACCATTAGCATCTGACTCAAGAATTTCATAAAAATTGTTTTGATAATTTTCCTGTTTAACAGTTTAGTCTTACCATATTACATCTGCTAAGCAGATATCTGGATCTCCAGGACACTTTTAGCTTAGCTTTGCATAGATCATTGAATCAGATTAGACCGCTAGCATCTATTTAAAAAATTTTAAAAAGAGTTTTGATAATTTTCCTATTTACCAGTTTAGATTTACCATATTTACCCTGCTGAAAAATCCAGCTTAAACCAGCCTAGGCTGGTTGGCTGGTTTTAGCTGGTCGACCAGGCTGGTTTTAGAGGGGTTTTGCCAACTTCCAGGCTGGTTTCCAGCCATTTCCAGCCTGGTCTTAGCTGGTCAGGCTGGATTTGGCTGG